GTCAAGAACAAAAGTTTGACAATAAATAGTATGCATGCGTGTGTGCGTCAAATACATGGTATGTAGTGTGTGTAATGTTTTCTTTATTGATTTAATGTATCTTTTATGCATTATTTGAAAAAAAAAATAGCATTGTGCACTTCTTCTCTATATTCTCTATAAGTGTGGAAAATGTCATACTCCTCCGTCCGCGCAATTTTCGTAAAAAGGGATACAAAGTTTTTGCTTCACGTATTAATATATAGATACTCATGAATTGAGAAAGCGATTCGACCTTTTTGAAATGTACTCATTTGTCAAAGATGAGAATGTCAGTGGTCGCTATATATTGCAACTCGCTCTATGATAAATAACAAAATATTTTTTAACACGTTTGTTTAAATAAAGACACCTAAGTTAATTTAAATATAGGCAATTGTTTTCGGCAATCCTTGGCTCACGCTACGGCTGGATAGACTGATAATCATCAGATTTACTTCCCAACGACTTAAGGTCGCACGTGTTTCGACTATGATTGATGGGTCAAAGACACGCCAATATCGTAAACAGTGAAAGTAATAAAAAATTATAAGGCTATTATTAACTCGTTTTTACTAGCTTTGTATGTATTTTTTTCTATGTGACGGAATTTTTGAACGTCATTATCGCCGACTTTATGACGTCCGATTATTTGAAAGTATACGACATGAAAATTTTCAAACGCATCACAGATCAATAACAATACAATAATTTTATAATATCCCTGTCAAAAAAAAAGATTAAATGAATTGTTAGTTCGGTCCGCTATTTAAGAGTATTATTTAAATTTAAACTACGTATATTATTATTGAGTAATTGTGGGTGAAAATAAAAATATTTCAGATGTGTTTATTTTAATTTACTGCTCATATATTGGTAATTATAATCTCTTAAATTTGACATTACGGAGAGGATCTAATTTTCTATTGTTTTATGGTGTGCAGCGGGGTTATTATAAATATAATAACATAATGGTACCACTACTTCTAAGGTATTAACAATATTAAAAAAAGTAAGTAAGGATTTTAGGAAAACTGAAATTATATATCGCAGATTGAGACCTGAGTACTTAGGTCAGTTTAGGAGTCCTTTATCACAAAAACGTTATTCGATAGCTCTGAAAGAATTAAAATAAGAGAGAGAAAACGATAATAAACACATTTAAATTCGTTTAAGTAATATCCACGCTGAATATTTCCCGCCGCTTCCGCTAGTTTATTACGTTTTAAAATCAGTTTTTATAAGAAGCGGTGTGGAACTACGAACTTTTATAATAGTTACTCTAATTGCTGCTGCATATTTAACCGTCGCTCGCCGCTAATTCTTCTTGGAGTTTAATCAAGTTGCAATTTCTTCTTCGTTCGTTTAAATTAGCTTCTTCGTTACTTAACCGCTAAAAGTAATGTAATCAATCATCAAGTTGCAGAAAATAGTTTTCCTTTTTGAAGAAAGAATGCAGGAAAGTGTACCTTTCCGCCAGCGTTAAGTGTTTAGTTTATATATTCGTTTTTCAATTTATTCTCCGTATATCCGTCACAATTGAATATCGCCATATGAAGTTACAATTTCCTCGTTTTTATATATTGTATTTCAAAAACAGAAGCATATGGTCGGGTTTTTTTTTTGCATAAAACACTTTCATTGCCGAGTCAAAATTTTTAGATAACACATATCATGCTATACTAAGAAAAGTCGCTTCAGATGTGTATGTATTAATATAATAAATAATCAAAGCGATTATATGTTAACAATTAACAAAAAATATATATATTTGTTTGTACCGACTAATTTCCGAAAGGGTTTTTTCGACAAGACTTTCACTGGCAAGTAGATGTGGTGTGTTACTTCAAATATTTTCATTTTATATAATGAACAGTGTTTCGCGCAAATAGAAAATTAATTCGTGAAATTGTAGTTAAGATCAGAAAAAGCTACAGTATAGCGGTTCACTTAGTTGTTAATAAATGCAATAGAACAAATTATAAATTCAAATGACATCTGGTCTTATTAATCGAAAGTGGAGATATTTCCGTGAAAGTACACGTAGCCAATGTAGACGGTAGTTTTTTTTTTATGAGCCTAGACGGACTTGAAACCTTTCAGTAGCGTAGTCTTGAGTACAAAAGCACTTATCCACTGCTCTTTGAAATATTACCCGAACGTTATCAGAGTGAGTGGAATTTAAGAAAGTGTCTAGCCGGTGGACTTAAAAAGTATAAGACTCACTCTAACCTCTAATATTTTAAAAGTCTCTTTCTAGTTGTAAGTCTTATTTTGAGTGACTGGTAAATAAAATTACTTTTTGTAAGCCATCTCTTAGAACGTTGAGGGATTGGCGTGGATTCTGTAAACGTTTTTAGTTTTACAGTTAATTAGTTAATTTCCATCACCCTTTTCTAGAATAATAGCTGAATGTTAAATTGAAACATTAAATAAAATATACCTATTTAGAATCAACTCACGTAACACCATCACATGTTAATAGTTTTTCTTGGAAACCTTATATAAATTTGCAATTACAACTGTTTAAGGTTTTTCCAACTCAATCGGATAAATAACAGAAATGCACAGAAAATGCAAAATATATTCATTTTACATTTCCTCAATAATCTTGAGCCGGAAATCGGAGTGCAGGTTCGAGAGACTCTCGGTTTGAAAAATCCAATACTAACTGAATAAAGGTTTATTTCAGTTTCTCTAAAGATATTTTTTTTAAATTATGTCAAATTGTTATGTAGTAAATATTATGCATTATATAATTTAACTAGTGTTTCTCTTTCTAACGTGTGAAATGAGTTAATTAAGAGCAAACGTATGTATGTAAATACATAAATATTTACAAATTTCAAACATATGTATGTACGAATATTTACAAATTTTTAAAGCTGAATAAAGTTTTGAAACGTTAAATACGTCAAATTAATCAACTTTTGTGATATGTACGTACATTGTATGGATGTAAATACGCAATGCGTAATATTTATATTCCATTAACAGAGATTTTTCACTTTCCTTCTTTACATTCAGTTATTTTTAATTTCGAATTATCAGTATAAAATCGAAGTTTTGGAAGCTCCAAATGAATGAATAGCTTTTAGTCATCTCGTAACTTCAAAACTTAATTTTGTAGTTTGTAATTGTGGAGGGTAAACGAAGTGGTAGTAGTTAGTAGTAAAAGGCAGTTGTCGGTTTTTTATATTGTATTATTTTGTTAAGAAATAATAGTCTGGTTTTATCTTTAAACTTAGTGATCAATGATGTATTACGTATAATAAAAATACAGATATTTAAATATCAGGTAAACGACTGATGATAAGTGTAAAGAAAAGTGAAGTTTCATAAAAAAAAACTTTTTGCAAGCTTTATTTGAATAAACGTAGGTAGATCTGAAACACCGTAGCTCCATACGAGATCCTCCACTTTCTCTCATCTGTTAATTAGATATGGCTTTTTGTATTTAATCATAATATAATTTATTCTTCCTAATTTTATAATGTTGAGTAACATAACAAAAGCATACGTTTTTGCGTACCATTCCTTTGAATTAAGTGTTGACGATTTCGATTTGCCTCACAATCTTAAAGTACGTGTCTTAAGTTTCACGATGTTGTAAACTGCTGTGTTGAATCAATCCGGAACGTCATCACGGACTTACGTTATCGTCGACTATATACGTATTTTTTATTTTGTATAATAAATAAAAACTAGAGGTCCCGCAGTAGTCGAAATTCGACTATAATAATTAATTGGAATTGTAAGATTGTACACTGTTATGATTGTATTTTATACTTCTATAATCACAAATTTCGGCAAGGCTACACTATAAAATAATATTAATAAAGACAAACAATATTTAATCTATTCTCAATTACACTACTATATTCCACAGACGTCAAGAACAAAAGTTTGACAATAAATAGTATGCCTGCGTGTGTGCGTCAAATACATGGTATGTAGTGTGTGTACATGTTTTCTTTATTGATTTAATGTATCTTTTATGCATTATTTAAAAAAAATATTAGCATTGTGAACTTCTCTATATTCTGTATAAATGTGGAAAATGTCATACTCTTCCGTCCACGCAATTTTCGTAAAAAGGGATACAAAGTTTTTGCTTCACGTATTAATATATAGATATTTGAAATTCGTATCCAAACGAGAAATACAGAATGAAGCGATTAATAAGACTGGCCTATTGACGTTTCAAGAGTAAACAATCCAGCCTAAAACCAATAAAAACCTGTTTACTTATCAATCGCAGTATAAACGATTCAGCATTGAATATTCGGATATTTTGTCAAAAGCAGGTGTCCATGCTGTTGGACGATATTGAGAAGAAACTCGGCCTAATTAGATATAATGTTTCGCTACAATGTTCATTTAGTTTATTGTTATATAGTTTGTAGTAACTTTCAATGTTTTTATGATGTTCCCCTTTGTTCCGAAAGTAAATTCATTGTTCTAACTTCTTATTTTGTGACATCAGAGTTTTAGTGAATAGGGAAAATTTAAGCTTAATTTAATTTCTCAGTGAAAATGATTTACGTATGGGCGTAACTTATATTTAATTAGGAAAAAAATTATTTAATAACTTATCGGTTAACGCGAAAACTTTCTTATAATATGTAGAGCAAATAGAGTTTCTGGGATCGATATGTAAAGTAGGTGGGCAGGTAGTTGAATTGTTGGTGGTGTGGTAGAGGTCGACGTTGTGCGTGCATGATCGATGGTGTTGCGTGCCGGGCACGCGTCCGGGGCCCTGCACGACGTCGAGCAGCTCCTTGACGACCCTCATCCAGCACCGGTGGGGCGGCATGACGTGGCTTCTCTTTGTTTCACTCGGCCCGTCGACGCCACCGCTCTGGCTTGCGCCGCCGCGCCTACCCCACATCGCGCATGCTCGCCACGACTCTCATGCTTCCCCACTACGTCATATTTAAAATGATTCGCGGGCCAAAGTAGCTCATATCTCCTGCTACGGCGTGACCGAGTAGACATTCGGCGAAACTACAGTCCGAGTAGCTAGCGCTGCGCCACTGCAGCAATTGAGGGTTTAGTCAATTTGTCTGGTGGCAGTCAGTTGGGCACCGGGAAGGGAGCGCGCGGTGGCGCTTATATCGATCTGAAATTTTCGTGTACCCGTCCGCGTACGGTCTCTGTATATTCGCCCAGTGGTCGCCGTCGGCGCCGGCCTTGTTGCACGGTTCACGCGCCGCTTACATTTGTTTCCCTCGCGCGATCATGCCCGCCGAGTCTAATTGATAACACGACACACGCACCCGTGAGCGCACCTGAGGGCCGTACGAGCCTCATCTAACGTATTCATTTGATCGATCTCGAGCAGCGAAACTTAGGTATGTAATCATTTACTTTATACAAATTATCTAAACTTTATTATAATATTACTTTTTGTTTGTTTAGTATTTGATTAGCATTATTTTCTTCTTTTTTTTTATAACTCTTTTATTAATTTATTTCTTCGTAATTCTAAAATTTTTCATACGTGTTTGTGTATAAAATGTGTTCTTCTATATTTCTTTAAAGTGTTGTAGCGGGCCATCTGGTTTATATTCTAAAGTTAGACTGTAAAATCGTAAACTACAAGGAATCATTGGCGTATAGGTATTTGTAGCTCGTTTGGTTCGAGGCAATTATAGTGATCGGAACTTGATAAAAACAAATTAGTCCTAAAGCATTTTTGTTATTTCATTTATTACGCAGGTAAATATTACCAATAATAATTTAAAAAAGTAGATATCATTAAAATATTTGGATATCCGCGGTCTGAGTGAAGATTACTTGCCAAAGAAAGAGTAAAGGCAAAATAAAACAATATTAAATAAACGAATACTCATAGCTTTATTAATTTTTTGTCATTAAAATGTTGAAACAGTGACAAGAAACAAATTAAAAAAACATGGATAGTGAAGTGTAGACTAATGTGCATCGTTAATAAATATAAAGGGTCTAAGATATTATTTTATCAATTTCAGCAACTACTATTTTAATAGAGTAACGAAATATTGTTTTTACATAAGAAAAGCTAAATCGAAATATTTCCGAATAATTCGTGAAATACACTGCACAACATTTAAAAAAAGAAATAGCAATAAATTCATAAAAATACAAGGTTTTATTTTAATCATCCTTTGGGTGTAATTTTTTGAAAACGATACAATTTAATAAAATTATTGTAATACGTACAAAGGCCGTGTTTCTGACGTGACATAGCAATTCCGTTTATCTCCTTCGATATTTACACGAAAAACGTAAATATTTATCCTGCAAATTAAATAAACCTAATGAGAACGCGCGTTGAGCGCATTGCGTAATCTTATACTTAAAGATACGTGTATAAATAATATCGTTATAAACAAATATAATTGTAAAATAGTAGACGACGAAAACCAGGAGACGGAAAATTTTGAAATAATATCGATTTAACGCAATAAAAGCAAAAAGAATGTAATATAATAAAAATTAAAAAAAATAAAATAAACAGCGCTTTATTAGCTTATAAAAAACGTTTTTCTCGACAAGTCCAAGTTCAACGGGTAATTGAAATAAATAAAAAAATCCTGCATTGTATTCAAATACTTGAAAAGAATGATAATGAAAAATGCATTCATAAAACGATTTGCATACAATGCCAAGAAATAGCTCGTTTAGATATTTATTTCGCTTACAACACGCAATCTTCGATGAACCATCGCACCTAAATGCAGAACAGAATTATTCCATTCAATCGTATACAAATCGTAAACACGGGCAAGAAATTTCGAAAGTAAATTCTCTACCTGTTTCTGCTCATTTCTCATGTTTTTTTTTTTTTTTCCTACCTAAGCTGAGAGCCTTGAGAGGCTATTTCAGCGTAACCCTAACGTTTGTAGGTGAGCTCACGGGGCTCAAACCTGATGACGTTGCTAACACGAACCCTAGCAAGAGTCGTGCTTCGCAGAATCTACCACCGGATCGGAAACGCGACCCACTGAGAAGATCCGGCGAGAAACTCAGTGGGCTGTGTCTGANTGCTTCGCAGAATCTACCACCGGATCGGAAACGCGACCCACTGAGAAGATCCGGCGAGAAACTCAGTGGGCTGTGTCTGAGAGTTAATTTACTCGTCGAGCCCTTCGTCGCAAGCGACGGGTTCGACGAGAACGGTGACCGGTGCTTGAAGTACCTAAAAGCACCGTTAGTGGATCGGGAGGATCCGAGATGACGTGTAATTTCTCGGTGTGGCCTTCGTTGTATGGTGTCTGCATTCTGGTTACCGATTAACATTCGGCGGCCATGCTCATTTACAGCAATGGATACTAAATAATTCTTTCAACCAACAAGACGGTGATGTGATTTGATTATAATATGATGGTTGTTTTTGCGGCGGCGGAGATGTATAGAAATGGTAGTGCAAGGTAGAGGGGGAAGAGGTCGACCAAAGAAGACATGGATGGAGTGTGTGAATAACGATATGAGAGAGAGAGGAGTGAGTATTGAGATAACGGCTGGTAGAAGAGATTGGAAGAGAAAAATTCGCTGTGCCCACCCCACCTAGTGGGATAAGGTGGAGAAAAAGAAGAGGTTGTGTTTGCGACATTGATACATCGGCTATCCAGGTGTTCTAGATGATCAAATACATATTTATTATAAGTTGTTTAAAGTATGTATTCATACAGTATTTTTTAAAGCGACTATTACACATGACGTCCATCAGTTATTAATGTTTATCGTCCATTGGGAATTATCTAATTAGATATTGTAAGTTGCTTTGAATTTGATTCAAGAATAATAATTAGTGGAAGAAGTTCTTTTTGAGATAAGTTCTTGTTCACGGAACATCTTGTCTACCCACGCTTATTTGAAACTAGCTTAATTAATATTCGTAAAGTAACAGATTTATAACAACAAATCCCTTCCAGTGATAGTGAAAAAACAAGACCCTCTTCATTGTTCAAAGGTGCTCGTTTAAATTCTTCTTCAATTATTTCAGTTTTCAGTGAAATTTCTAAAAGATTCAGCCGTCAACGGTTTAAGTGTGTCTCAATAAATCTCGTTATTAACGTTGACCTATATTTTTTAGCTTATAAAAAAGAGAGGTATCTCAATCTGGATGTATGTTTTAAAAAAACATGATTATAGTGAAATTATTATTACAGTTGAAAGAAAAGTAATCATAGATACGATTAGGATTAGTAAATTATTGTATATTGAACAAAATTAATGCACGCCTTATCGAAACCGAGTATAATTATTTAGTAGAATTAGAGTAATAGTAGAGAAAAAGTAGAGAGTAGAAAGAGTAGAAAGAGTAGAGGTTGAATTGTACAAAGTTAGAATTCTAAAATTAATTTTTTGAAATGTTTTAAATGGTACCGCTTAGTATGACTTGACTATACGCTGATTTTTGCCTTATCGATGAAATTATATAATATTTTAGTATAACTATATTGCTACTAAAATTATAAATGTGAAAGTTAGTATGTTTGCTAGTGAATCACGAAAAAATAGCTGAATGGACTTGGATGAAATTTCGCAGAAAGATAGTCACTAGCTTGGATTAACACATAAGATACTTTTATCGTGGTAAATAATATGACCCGGACAACCCCGGGTTTATATGCTATAAACTTATCGATCGTTTGTTTTAATGGTTGGAGACTTGACAACTGTAGCCCGGAGCCCAAGTTGCTTAACAGAATCAGAGTCTTTGTTAAATTTGTTTGTTTTGTATTGTATATATGTATATTTTCACTAGTTATAACACAAGAACTTCGTCAGGGTCGTTGAATGTCGAGCGTTATAACAAATTTTTATGCAGAACTTTTCTTGTTCTTACGAATTTTATTAAATTGTACTAAATGCTATGTCACTTATACTGGATTAAATATTCTGTTGGTTTGAAAATCAGTCAAATAAGGTCAATACCCTTATACTAGATTGTTTTAAAAGCCACAGTGTGAGTAGTTCTTCTCTAAATACAAATACATTGTTTTGACTAAATCCGTCATTAAAAAAACCAGCCCGCTGAGTTTCTCGCCGGATCTTCTCAGTGGGTCGCGTTTCCGATCCGGTGGTAGATTCTGCAAAGCGCTGCTCTTGCTAGGGCCAGTGTTAGCAACACTCCGGTTTGAGCCCCGTGAGCTCACTTACATGTTAGGGCGAAGCTGAAATAGCCTCTCAAGGCTATCAGCACAGGTAGAAAAAAAAGATGTGAGATGTCGTGGGACACCGGATAGAAACGAAGTTCTTTATTATAAAAATATTAATGACAAGTTCAATTTGAGGTATAAATAGTATAATTATTCGATTATAGATTTTTATTATGATTTTTTATTGATAAAAAAAATACTACTTTACAATATTATCAACTTTATTTTATTCACAATGATTTATAAAAAATAATAATATACAAAGAAACAGCTATTTATATGAATAATAATAATAACCGTCATCGCGTAGACTATACATTAGACACTGTATAGCCATCATACTAAGACTATACATAAATAATAAAAATCTTACGTTACGGACGTTTTTTTCCGGTTAAGGTACCCCTCCGCATCGTCCCATACGGAACTTCGTTCCAAAAAAATAACAAATGTTATACAAACTTAATAAAACAAATTTTTTGGATCATTAAGTTGACAGCGAGCGGCAGTATAATGTCGGTGCGCTCTCTATGTAAAACGACTGAAAAATATTAAATTTTCTCCCCTTGTTAGCTTTGTCGCCTCCCATTAAAACGTAACCTTCGTCGCTGTGTTATTTATACTTAGGCACTTCGATACGAACTTTCTAATAGTATTACGACGAATTAGAAAAAACAAAGCCACTTACTGTAATTAGTGGTAAGCTACTATAATTACTGTAAGAACTATTTAAAAGAAAACTTTTGAAGTAGATTTATTGTAGTACTGAAATGTACGATTATTTCAAAAAAAAAGTGTGTGTGTCCGCTCCGACGCACGACTGGAGTTTACTGGATATAAAAAATTAAACGAAACAATACGAGAAATAGTTCTATATTACGACAACACGATACACTACAGATTATTAACAAATTAACGAGACACAAAACAAACGACTAACAAATATATGAAAATACAATAATGAGAGAAACGCGCGATCAGTACGAGGCTTTGTGGCGGACTGCCGGCGCAGCAGCCCGGCGTCACCTGCGATAACGCGGCCGCGCGTTGGCTCCTGATTGGCGCGCGCACGCATCACGCAATCAGGAGCCAATCAGGCGCATAACGCATTTCGTGTGACATGCTAGTACGATTTTGGTCCCCATAATTTTCATACCCCGGGCCTATATATGTAAATCGATTCTAAAGGAGTAAACTCCATAAAA